AACCACAGCATAAAAAAAAGGCTTCTTTTTTTGTATCTTTGGAAGAAAGGCCAAAAAAAGTCCATCCTTGGTGAAACCTGAGCAGAGGGAAGATACCATCTTCCAGCACTACATGGTTGTCCTTGAGGAGCTAATCCTAGAAGTTTCCTACAGACCAGTGCTGTCAGCTTCCAGGACAGCTTGCTCAGCTTTGTGGATGGCATCTGAGGATCCAAGTCTCCTAATACAGCAAGCTTTGATGCTTCATTTGGATTCCTAACTTCTTCAGGGAGCCAGCTGGCTTCAATTCAGATGTTTCAACATTAGATCCAGTTTAATCTTTGAGCACAACCCCAACCTTTACATCAGTTTTAGAAATGGGGCTTCAGCCTAAAGAACCCTGAAAAATCTTGTCCCATGTCAGAATTTAAAGCATCCCTCTATGGGAGAACCCATTGCACCCCTGGAAGTCATTTCACCGTTAAACTACCTGCACTGCTGAGAAGTGACACAGCACGTTATAGCTAGTCTAAATTTGTCTGGCTTCAGCTTTCAAAAACCGTATGATCTCTTTTTGGTGCATGGTAGACAGCAAGGATCCCTGACTAGTTGGATAATCCATGCTTCTTGCAAAAAGCCTCCTTGTTTTGTCACTAGGAAAAGATAAAACCCACAAATTAGCTCACTGTCCATTTGTACACCAATTACTTGATACAGAGGTACCATAAATGCACGTGAGAGCTAATGGTGCACCCGGATGATCAGCTGAAGGCTACCCAAATCCATGGTACAATGGAAGGGTGATTCCACATCCTCTCTCTCCCACATGGCCATCTTGTTTGTGCGGGCAGCAGTATTTGCACAGCCCCATCAACAGCTGGTTTAGTAAACTGACCACATTAAAAACTAATCCGCAGTTTGTTTTGTAGAGGAAATTTCAGGCTTCCTGGTCCAGCAGTCTGTACAACTCAACACTGGCATGGAGGAAGGCACTGGCCAAGGGGCAGAAGAAGAGGGAAGGTGAAAGGTGCCTTGCAATCACAGCCTGACCATGAAACCCCACCCTAGGCTAATTAATTGCACAGTCAGTGCCAAAAACCTATTCCTGCCCTACTAAGTTATGGCCATTTCAAACCATATTTTTCTTCCCCAGTTGTTTGGCAAGAGTGTTAATGTTCCTAGCTTTAAATACAGCTATCTAGGGACTCCCAGAGAGACATTTATTTTTATTATGTTTTTCTTTTGGACTTTATTCACAAAGCCAGCAAGGATAATAGCTAAAAAGCTGAGATTTGAAAAAGGAAGGGGGTTTAAATCAGAAATAGCCTTTCAAGGAATTTTAGTGAAACATCAGAATCTGGAAACAAGGACTAGAATGTAGATAGAATTTCCTTGGTGTTTAAACTTTCATGTTTTAGTAGAAAAAATCACCCTGCTTGAAATAGGCCCAGGATTTTTGAGAACCTGGGGGAAGTAATGGAGTGTGACGTACATAGCTGGGACAAGGAATCTACTGGAAGAAGCGAGCACAGTATCTTTTAGAAGTTGCCAAAACCTGCAGAAGGCTGACACAGGCAATTTCCTCTGAACTGAAGCTACAGGCATATGGAGTAGATGGAAGGCTGTTGAAGTCGTAAAGGTAAGAGTCTTCTGAGCTGGTATATGAAATGACCGAGCAGGCAATGTTGAGAATACCTAAGTTAAGAGCTTGGAGTAATCGTATGCTATATGAATGTGCAGTCACCTTTGTTAAGATGTTCACATTAAATCTCAAAACGGAAAACATTCCACATGGAATGACTTTAATGGGAAGAGCACAAAAATCTACCAGTTAAACTCACTCTTTACAATATAAATAGGTACAGCTTCAAGGAAATCAAACACTGCTTTGGAAGGACATGTAGAAGTCAGAGTATCCCAGCTTCAGGGCAGCAATTCTCTTCAGACCAGTGACTCTCAGCATCACAGACGTCCGACTACCTCTTCCAAAAGCAAGGACGGACAAAAGTCTGTGGTGGCAAATGATCTTTTCCCAATGCAGAACTTGATGCAGGTATCAGACTTTGACCACTTTTAGTGTTGACACCTAAGCCCGTATCGGACTTGCATCATAGGGGACATCTGTTGACAGTCACTACGACCAGGAACACTTGCTGCTCTTGGTTGCCAAGTTTTATGGGACAAATTTTTACTGAGTTTCTGGACAGACGAAGGCAGCTCAGGACAGTATGCAGCCTCTGAGGGATCAGGGCCAAAGGTTGTTTTGTACACATGATGCTCTCAGAACATAGGCTGAGAGAGAAGAAACAGTGGACGTGTGTATTTGGGATGGATGTCACAGACTCAAAAAAAACCCAAACCAAACAACTGAGAAGTAGATGTGTTACTAGAGAAGCTGTTGGAATAGAAAATTGAGGCATTCAGAGATCTGCCAGCATCAGCAAAAACTTTGCCCCAGCTGCTGAGTGCACCTACCGACTTTGGATCAGGTTCTAGAGGGAAATTTCACCAGTTGCAAGAGTTACAAGCTTGCCAGACCCATCAAAAAATGAAAACTGCAAATTAACTTTTCCCGATGACCCTTTAGTTGGTTTAAAAAAACACCACCACAAAAAACCCCAACCAAACAAAATCCATTTGTGTGATTTAAAATCTATATAGTAGATAACCCCATAGTATTCTAAGTTGAAGACAGTAAAAAGATGTAAATAACCTTTAAGTAGAATGCGCTAGAAACTATGAAGAAATACTGACAACTAGCCAACTGTCAGCTGGTTAACACAGGCAGCTGAGGTATGGCAAGCAGGACTCAAGTTCTTGTTCTGTAAAACTCAGCGGGGGGACTTGAACTCCATCTTCCACCAGGACATCTCTGGTTCACTCAGTATTTTAATATTCAGAGAAATGAAGCAGTTCCAAGAGAAGGAACTGGAAGAAAAAACAGCCACTACAATATAAAAAAATAGCCAAGTGGTTTAGAAATTTATTTGGGTTGCATGTTCTTGCACTAAAGGTGGCAATAAACTGCCTCGAGCAAATCTCTCCATGAAACACTTTCAGGACATTCTATTTCATCACAGTGCAGAACAGTATTTTTTTCCTGAACTCTCTGAATTTGCACGGGGTAGGAAAGTATAGTTGTTTTATACATATGTCAAGGCTCAAGTAGGACTACAAGCCTAACTTCTGAACAAGATGGATGTGCCTCCTGCTGCACCCATACATCCTGCAGCGAGTGAAGCATGCATAAGTTAAATGTTTGTGGAATTGGCACTCCCCCCCCTCCCTTTAAGTAAAAGAGGCTCCCTTGCTGAAAGATCATTCCTTTAATGCCTTCATATTACGGAATAATTTAATGAATCATCAAAGATACATTCCATAGACAAAAGGCTTTTGCTAAGTGTTATGCATCGCTAAGGGGAAGGACAGTAGAAGACCTTGTAGGAGGTTAGCTCCGAGAGACTGTCATTGATCTTCAGGGTTGTATTTCTCTACTGAGATCATTAGACAACAGACAGTCAAGAGGATCTGACACAAGTAGGAGCTTTGTCAATCATTATAATCCACCAAAAGAGATGTGCCTGTGAAATAGGCAAATATAAACTGTACTGTGGCAGGAGAGGTACTACCAGCAGAGAGAGAGAAGAGTAAATGATAGTAACGTACAGCGCAGTGGGGGGCTTCCTTAGGAACCTCCTGAGCAATCTCACTAGTGAGTTCAGGTGTAAGGAAACAAAACCGGAAGAGATGCAGGGAAGGACTCCAAATATGATCAAAAGTCTGGAAAGCACTGATTGAAAAACAAACAGTTCAGCTTGCTTAGCCTTACAGAACAAAGGCTGAGAAATCTACCATTTCGGTCTATGCATACTGCAGGGGACAAAGGGGAAGAAAAGGAGAAAAAAGGAAAAGATTCAACTTATCCTGCAACTGCATTTAAGAAGTGCATAAACATTAATGCTAGCAATATATAGGTATGTATCAGCAGTATGTTAGCAAGGTAGGTATTAGTATGGCAGCAGAGTTAAGGCAGAAATCAAAAGGAGTTAATTTTCACAGGAAAGAGGTTTTCTTTTTCTAGACTGAAGTTTGCTTAGGAAAAAAATTATATGTGCACCTGCTTTTACAGTGTACTAAGCTGAGTAAATGGTTAGGTCCTTCACTGTTTATATAGCTAAAGTATAAGCACCTGTAAACATTTAAAGACACTAATCAGGTGAAGCTTATAGATACAGTTCCATCCAAATACATTTGTAAAAATAAGTTCCACAGCAATTCAATTAAAGGATAATAAAATATGGCAACTCAGATTTTTGGCAAACATTTTATAATTTTTATATAAAAATCTCAGTAAGAAACCAAGCAGAGTATCTGACGGAAACATCTGCCTTACAACAAGTTCAAAAAAAACCTCACAAAAGAAAAAGAGAAAAAAAAGAAAGAAAAGTAAAATTCCAATCCCCCCAGCATCCTTTTTAATTATAAACCAGAATATCAACAAAACACTTAAAATAATCTCAGATTGTTTGGCAACTCATCACATCATAACAAGAGACACATTTGATCATAAGAAAAGTTTAACTTTATATACAACTTCACTTGAACATTTGCTCTTACCAGAGTTAATATACATTAAAAAAAGATTCTGGCAATAATACCAGGTTCTATTTTTAATACCTGTGTATAAAATGTAACATAAAATGCTGAAGCTCTACAGTTAGGAGAAGTAACATTTGATTTCAATGGGTCCCTCTTTGTTGAAAAAGACAAATACTGAAAGAACAGGTGTTTAGTTGCAAAATAAAACTGTTTCATTTCAGGGTAGTGTTGGCTGACTGTGAATAAATCTACCCTAATACTATTTACTTCTTGAGGTTGGTAGTAAATTCACAAGTGAAAATATAATCTAGTAAGATTACATTTTAAATTTTATACTTTGTCACAAATGTGAACAGAAAGGAGCCAAGTCCCTTTCACTATGCTAAACTACTTTAATGCATGCGAGAAAAATACTTTACCAACTGTCTGAGCATATTTTAGAGAACTTCAGGTTTTAGACAGCCCTGGGGGAGCGGAGGGGAAGTTTCCTACTGACATCTGCATAGAATGTAAAATATATGATTAAAAAAACCTAAGGTATATACTAAAGTTTACAGACCAATGCTTTCCATATAATAAATAAAATGTCCATCATCGATTAGATTCATACACAGAGTAAAATACAACCCTTTTGTACAAGTTTATATACAAAGTGTATTAGTAGGCCCAGGGTACCTCATGGGTTGGAAGCATCTGCATTAGCATGTCACATTGGGAAACCCCAACTTTCCAAGTCAGTGATAAAATATATAACTACTTTGTTTTTCATTCAGATACAAAGTAAACTTATTTTTCATCTGAAATAAATGTACATAATATTCTGTATAAACAATAGTTTATAAAGCTGTTTAAAATGTAACTTAAAAGTACTGCATTGATTAACTTAGAGCTCTGAAACAAGCACGTGCAAATCCCTTTGCTTTAAAAAAAATAGAAGCACAGATGTTTTTTTCCTCTTTTGACTCTTCCATGAACAGTACTAGCTGGTAAAGATTATCGTTTTGCTTTCTTTACTGGTGTCTCCTCTGTTTTCTGCGGGCCTTTTCTCCGTACCGCTGTTGGGCTGTCTTCCCTTTTACGCTTGGCAGACTGCACCTTTAACCTGAAAAGCATTATTAATAATTATTTTAACAATGGTAGGACCTGTAAAACAAAAAGGGTGGTCAGGCACAATCCTGTTTAGAGGATGGAACTTAATTGTCCATCTCTGATGAATTACCAGGATATATTATTTAAGAGCTTACTACTAAACCATTATATACCAGCACAGACCATAGGAAGACCTTGCACACTCCCATCACATCTTAGCAGGATACTGCATACTAATTCTGTATGTTGGAGAGTGCTCCAGATATAGAATTTGGGGCTAGAGCTCTCCTCCTTCCTCCTCTTTCTTTTGGAAAGACTTGTGGATTACAACAGAATATAATGAACTACATTATCTCATAAAGACAGAAGAATAGTAACAGTGGCTTAAGTCTTGCATACACAAGAGGGAGTAAAGGGCAGACATCATGTACCCTTATCTCTATTTAAGCATCCATATATAAGCCCACCACATTTCAGCTGCAACCAATTGTAAGTGTGGCTTAAACTCTTGGCCATTCATAACCATGTGAAGTAATTAACATGAGGTGAACTGTGAGAGCTGATCAGTAGTGCATGATACACGTGTTCCTGAGGTTCAGTTTGAAGACACTGCCACATTTCAGAGTGATGACAACTAAATGTCTTTGGCATATAACCCATTTTACAGGTAAACTACAAGATGAATAGCAACTGTGCATTGCATTTATTACTCCCTTGGGAGTTTACACTGTGATCTCAACTTTAAAAATTAAAAAGTGTACCAGGGAAGGAGGGAAAGGGAAAAATTTTCAAAACTTGATATAAGGACTCTCAGAGTTTCTCCTCTTTTATCAGCTGATCTTAGAAAGATCTTTGAAGCATTAGAATCATGTCATCATACGTTGCTTTAACTTGAACTACAGCTGCTCTTCCCCCCATTCAGGAAAGAATCATGGCTCAAGTTAAAATACTGCATAACAGCATTTTCAGATTCTCCCAAGAGGTTTCTGAGGATGGAAAGAAAAAAATTCTAGTCTTCCAAATGTTAAAGAAAGGAAGAAAAAGAAAAAACGTAAACAGAAGAAAATCCTTTAAAAGCTTTTATATATCACAAGAGAACAGAACAGAGCGAAGCTAGACTGCTGTTCAGATTTTGAAGCAGTATATTACATATAAGGAAAGAATCAATGTAGTGGCTTCCCAAGCAAATAATAGAAGTGGATTCAATTTTAATACTTACTGTGTCAATGGAGGAGATTTATTAATTTTTGTATCACTTGGAGATCTTTTTTTTGCTGCTAGGTTCTGTCGTTTTCTAGGAGAAATTGAACTTGGACTGCTGCCTTTAGAAGTTGCACGTGTGGTTGGCTTGCTGGGCTGCTTTCTGTAATACAAAAGAATGATGAATGTATATATAACAAAATACTTTTACCAAGTCACTTTGTTCTTGCATTCCAAGGGCAGAAAATTAAGACTGCACAATATTTGCAACAAGTAAATCAAAGTTGCCAAAAGAAACAGTGAAAAAAAAACATTTGCATGCTTCGAGACACAAATTGCAATGCCGAGCGGTGTATTTTCATATCAAATGTAGAATCAAAAAGGCTACTTTACTGACAATATTTAGTATTTTAGTATTAACTAAATAAAAATCCTAGTTCTAAATCTGCAATAATACTGGTACAGAAGTGTCCATGTTTAAAAAAATAGCTTGTAGTACCAGCAGAAAAACAAAAGAAGCAAAGGCAAACAGGCTGCAGAATAAAAGAGAATTTGCTTATCCAGTGTAAAGAAAGAACTCGTATTAGCTTCAGTATCCACCAGTTCAGAAACATGAAAAACTGGTTACTGGCGATCAACTTCACAGTTTGGAAAACAGGTTACTTAAGTCAGAAAAACTGATAACCCAGCAATGCTGAAGATGAAGAAGCAGCCCCTTCCACAGAATTATTCCCAAATACTACTTATAAAATGCAGACCGTTTGCAGCACGTTAAGATAAAGATGCTTTGTTACAGTCAGAGCTAGAAAGATAGCATTGGAAATCTGAGACACAAAAACAAATCTATAAATAAAAAAGTAGATGTTTCCACAAGCAATCAGAATGAAAACACTAATATCTAAACCCTTATTACAATTTTAGAGTTAACAATTACGTGAGACTACAGGAAGTCCCTTTGCCCTTACCAAAACAAAACTGTTGTTTACTAAGTGGTAGTGGTAAACCTTCACAGTTTTTATTTAAATGAAGACTACATAACTACTTTCTGATTCAGCTCTGAAATTATGAATTCAAGAGCATACTGTGAACAGTGCTTCAAATAAGCCTCAAAGGCTAACATACAGTAGATAGCCTTAAAAATGAAGTAAATCTGGTGAATTTACAGAAATCTCACCACGAACATGAAAACAAAGCCTGGACTCCAGTTCTGTTCTGGAAGGCAGTAACATGAATTAAAACTTCCCAAAGCTGACATCTTCCTTTGTTTCCACACGGAAGTCAAGAGGATGAGTTCTGCTATAATTCAGTTTGCCTACAAACAGGCAGACCTATGCTAAGGGAGATGAAAAATGGTTTCTTGAAAACAGAATTCTTGCTACCACACTAGTCTTTTGCAGTAAGATTGCTTTCTGAGATTGCAGATCACCATACTAGAAATTAAATCCTCCAGTACTGCAGATTAATGTATTTAACTTGGATAATGTTTGGAAAAAGAAACGGACATGGATAATTATATTTTCACCTTGTTCCAACTCCAAATATCAAATGGTGAATTGCACAGTCAAGTCAGAAGTCCCTTTTTACCGGAACTAAGTGCCCTTAGACTCAACTTCTGAGACATCACTAGGATGAAGACTACCAACAGGATCAATTCTTACCTTCTGACATGTTCAAGTATGTCTTTTGAGACCCTAACAGTTTCCCCACCTCCCCTTTTGTCTCTTCATCCCTAGAAGAGCAGTACTAGAATTAGAACCAAAATTATTTGGAAAGCTCTCAATTTAAAAAAAAAAAAGGCAAAAAAAAAAAGCAAGCAACAAAAACCCCCAAACCAACCCCACAACAACTGAGAACAATGTAGAAAAAAGCCTGCTATTGGTGTCTCTACACACAGTTACCTTTGAGCCTCTAATCTTGTGGCTGATCTAGTTGTGGCCCCGGAATGTGCTTCATCATCTTCCTCACCATCTTCTTCCTCACCTTCCTCCTGCTCTTTTAGTTCGTCTTCAGAAGACGTTAATTTCCGACGTTTTCTTTCTGGCTCCAGTGTTTCTGTCCATGTAAAATTTTACACATGTGCTATAATTTTCCAAAAGGCCTCCAAAAGGATATGGACACTTAGTTTAGAAAAGGTATTCTATTCACAAATCCCACTTTAAGTAAGTAATTTTCCATTTCCTTTATGCTTCAACATTTTAAATTCACACTTGTTTGACTTAATCTTGCTAACACATTCACCATAGTTTACTTATGCAGCTCATAGCCAGAATTCATAGAAAATTCATGAGGCTTTATAGAAGCATCTGGGATGTAGCAATTCTGACATGAGATTACAGCAATTTACACATATTTACATAATATTTACACTAGCTGTAACTCAATGATTTTTCCTCAAGACAGGAAAATTGAATAAAGTTTATCTTGTTGCTATTAGTAAACAGAAAGGCACAGTAATATCTTCTCATTCTGTTTTGAGTACCACAGTTTCATGTTTTTACCAGTTTCCTCTGATTGAACCAGAGAACGCCTGGGCTTTCTTCCCCTTTTACGCACAGTCATTTCTGCTTTCTCAGCTTCATCTTCCTGAAAAAATAAAATGGAAGCAAGTAAGGCAAGAACAATTTAATTTAAATAGAAGACAGACATTTTTCATTACATACTGCTTATAAATGTACAAATTAAAATGGTTGCACTTACATTTGTTGTTTCTTTCTTATTAGATATGTCTGTACCTAAAAAGAAAGGAAATAACAAAACTTAATCCTGAACTTCAAATCTTTCGTCAATCAGTTTAAAAAGGAGTTCTTTCAAACTCTGTCAATTTTGCATAAACATCACAGAAGCTCAGAAAACAGTTAAAGTCCCTATCTAATTTAGAATATGGCTTTGTTGTATTTTGTTATATATAGAGACTGGGGCAATTATTAATTTTTTTTTTTTAAGTAGCAAGGCTTTATATGATTGACATTATTTATTATTTATTGCTTCGTTGCATATGCTGTTTTTTTAAAATGGAAAAGCAAAAGTTACTCACCCCTTTTAACTACTGCCAATCAATTACAGAATCACAGAAAAATTTAGATTGGAGGGGGCCTCTGGAGGTCATCTAGTCCAACCTCCTGTTCAAAGCATGGTTAAATTAATTGATCTGATCATACTGCTCACGATCTTGTTCAATCCAATTATGAAAGTCTCCAGGAACCCTTCCATGGTCCCATCAGGCAATCTGTTCTAGTGCTTAACTATGCCCATGGTGAAGCACCAAGATGGCTGTAGCTCAAAAACATAGTATTTAAAACCTGTCTAATACCTGGTATGAAAATTACATTACTTTCTCTGTTGAAGTATTTCTTTCTTCCAATTCAGTACTTCTTACAGACTGGCCTGTGCATGTTAAAATACATTTATAACCCTACAACCCATGTCTCAGCTTGGCCTCTCTCCATGGTAGATGCTTACCACTTCTACCCTGACTAACGCTACGATAAGAGATTATTTTACAAAGCTTTTGAGCTTTGTCAAATGGAATTATCTGCAACACTGCTAGGATAAAAATCCTTAGCAACAGAAGGAGAGAAGCAACCTGAACAAAAGCAAGTTTTTATACCTTTTTTCCCTGCCATAAAATGGCTGCCTGTTTTTGTTTTCTGAAAGCTACACAAAAGATGACACAAACTGTCAACCCATCACCAATTAGAGTGATACAACAAACAGAAGAACATCAATACAACGGATCAAAAATAGATCTCAAAGAGCAGAAACATATTCACACAAAAGTTTTTTGGAGTTCCTTTGTTAAGGTTATGGGGAAAAACTTTTACACAAAAGCAAATGAAATAAAACACAAAGATGTTTAACTATTCAATAAAGAAATGCAATAGAACATAGGACTGTCCACTGTATTAAGTATTTTATGCAAAATAAGTCTAACATATAACCAACATTTACTAGTTCTGTTGTGATCAGAAGACAGACACTTCAAAATTCTGGTACCTTTTGGCAAATTTGTAGCAAAATGGTTTTTATTGAAGAATACTCCATGTAAGTACAAGACAAGCCTTTCTTAACAGACACAACCCTCTCTTTAGGATGTGAAAATGTAGTACATTTGCCTCAAGATAAGTATAAAAATAATAAGCTATAGTATTTTAAAATCTTACTAACTTTACAGCAGCAACTGCTGATTAGCGCAAAATAATTTTAGTTTCATGTTCAGTGTCAGTGTTATGGGAGGATGCTGCCTTCAGAAACCAGATGTCTCTTAACTGCATGAGTTGTACTGACTGAAAAGAAACTCTCTGCTTCCCACTCTAACATGCGAGTCTGTCCCAATCGCAAACCCTTGTGCAGAACACCCAGAAATTACCAAAGTGAGTGAGCTGCACAGAGGGATTCCACTTTGTTTTCTTTTCACTGCCAGGGGTTTTCAACCCCTTTTCTCACATGAATGCTAACATATGATGAAAAGTTTAACAGGATATTTCATCCACTTTATACATTCTTCTTAATATCGCTGTGACATCAACAGCCTTTTACCTGGAAAACGAAATGTTACTTAACACACTAAATTAAGCTTTAAGTACACAGTCAGGTGTCTGTTCTTTTGAATGAAAAGCAAACCAGAATGTACTTTTACACCTTTCTTGCATTCTTGTCTGTTCTCTTTGCAGTTGATAGAAACCAAGTACCACACAACCAGCTAACCCTCTAGAGACAATTCTGAAGCATATGGATTAAAGCTGACATTTTAACAAATGTGGAAAAAATAGGAAATAGTCCATATGTGCAGTGCAGCCAGATTAATATCTCTGTAGAAACCTAAACTTTTGGAAACTCCAGAAGATTTGTTTTCAAGACTTGTTTTCTCAGATTTGTTGCATGAATGTTTGTATTTGTTTATAAACCATTTTTTAACCTGCCTTTCAGGTTCGTCTACTTCCTGAACAGATTTTAAAGTCTATCTTATGAATGGCCATAACTAAAAAGACACATTTAAACAACCAGTGCAGTTCAGACTCCATACACACAAAAAATTAACTATGCCATCTAAAATTCACCAAAGTTTGACCTCTTACAAATCACAGATGTTTGAATAGGAAAGAGAAACAGAATAGAAAAGTATCTCACTTTATTTGACTGTAGTTTGAAGCACTAAAAGTACATTTCTGAGTAAAGTTAAGCAATCATCTTCTAAAGATATTACAGCAGTTGTGAAAAGGGAAATATCCCCTCAAGCTACACTAAGCTCTTTAGAAACATATCGACAGATAATCCAACTAACTGAACAAAATTTGAAATTTTAAAACAGTTAATGTAGTAAGTGTGATTGATAGTTGCTGTATGAAAGAAAATAAGCAGAAATGGAAAACAGTCACTAAGAACCAGTTTGATGGGGTACCTACCTGCCTCTGAAGCTCTGCCGTGTGCCTATCCACACAAACAAATTATTTGGTATATTCTGCAATGCATTATTCAGCACTTAACAGTGCTGCTGCATCTTTGAAACAAGTTCTTATCAAGCTGCTCTTTTTTCAAATTAAAAACTCACTAGGAATTAGGGACAAGTCTTCATTGTTCTGTTTACTCAAATGTTTTCACACATTGATAATACTGACTGCCAGAGATTGATGTTTAAGAAGGACCCATGTGATTTTCTCAAAAACCCTCTTCTATTTCTTCCATCTTTTGTTTTATTTGTTAAAGCAGATATCATTTGCTTACCTGTTTGAGGCGTTTTTCCTCTACTTGCAAAGATAGGAAACTGCAGCTGAAATAAAAAAAAAAAGTGTTTTTTTTAATTTAAAGGAAATCAGAAAAACCCAGGACTGTATTACATAAACACAGAAACTTGCTCCCATTCACAGTAGAACATATCTGCAAATCTAGAAAACATGAACATTCTAATGAGCATACAGAAATTTTGTACTGAGTTTCTTAATAGTAGCACGCATTTTTCCACTTATGATAAAAATTTGAAACGAGTAATATTGACCCATAAACAAAAGAAATCATAGCAGTTTCAGTAATCTAATTGACACTCAAGTCATTGCAATAAAAGACACAAAGTTAAAGCAGTTTCAAATACATTTCTAAAAGCTATCAGCAATACAAAAGTAGTTTAGTGCAGTCACTTTATGTAATCATACAGAGATTTGCGGAATCACCAGAATTTTGTATTTACTCAGAATGCAGAAAGAGCTACATATAATTACATAATCTCCTATGATGACTGTCCAAAAAATCCAGTTGCTTTCATCACTAAACGACTACACGAGGATGTCTACACTTCCTTTGAAGTAGCAACATGTTCTCAAGGCAGCCTAGGGGAAACTGTCATGCATCAACATGTCATCTCACCTTACAGAACCATTATCTCAGATGGAGGGCAGATATCGCTCCTCCTGGAGCCAGCCTGTAACTGACTGACACACCAATCAGTCATCACTAAGAAGTACAAGACCTTTAAAATAGTTGAACTATAACAAGATGATTCTGTTCCAGTACTGAGGGTGCCAAGGTATATCTATTTCTGAGGGGGATTTTAAAATTAGTTTTAATTCTTACTTGGAAAAAAAAACCCAAAACCAAAACAAAAAAACTAAACACCAAAAAAACTCACCAGTTCAAATTACATTTCATTAAATTAATATTGGGGGGAAAAAAAAAATCCATTAGGAAAGATGAGGAATTCTGAAACAAAACTCCATCAGAGCGGTAGAAGGGACAGGACTCAAAGGGCTGCCTGAAATGCTGCGGGGACAGAACAAGCAGGGACGAGAACTCCTGCTATCTATAGCCTAGGTAAATTCCCAAGACTTCTGACACCCATGCCAGCTGGTGCCTCAGCCTTGCCTCTGCAAGCAGGCAGAAAACATGAGTTTCAATACAACTTCGTTTTTAAAATCACCTCTTTTGTATGCAATAACGTTGATTCTGATATACAGGAATTCCCAAGAAAGGAGCCTTCCACCAGAATAAATCCAACTAGTCATACTCCACAAATATGCCTGATCCATTACTACCCTGTGCTGTAATCGAACTGGATTGCAGAAACACTCCCAACAGAATACTTTCTTAGCAGTAAATGTACTTCATGGGGGTTAAGAAATTAAGATATTGCTGAGCTTTAAAAGACAGAGGTATGTTTCACGAGCTCTTAAGTTACTAAGCAGCATGTCTCTATTTTTGAATGAACTGTACACATTGTGATATAGATAATACAACTGCATTACACAATACTTTATTTTACAGATATTAAGAGTTACTATGAGCTATTATTATGATAAATCTCAAGTTTTCTAAACAGTAACCCCTTGATCTTCAGGCCAAAATTATTCTCAGCACAAATTAAAAGACATGTTGTGCACACAATCAGAATTTCACCCTGCGTACAAGTATATTGCTAGCCAGTGTAACACTTAGATTTGTATTAAGTATGTTGTACTAAGTTTGATCCTGTTATGTTATTTGTTGTGTTCCAACTTAATGGTATATTTTGCTTACAAAGTTCAGTTATATTAGGAGATACTATTAATAGTTTTTGTTTGCTTAGATTGAACTCAATTATCAAGTTTTCCATAAGATGTTTCTGAAATACTGTTAACTGTTAAACAGATAAATGGCTCTTGAATTACTGTGTTTAAATGCACCCAAACAAAATAAAGGCACTTACATTCCCAGTGCTCATATCAGCTTTTGACTCCCCACCTGAGGGAAGAAATATGAATTCAGAACTTGAATGTCACTATTTTCCTTGTTTTTCCACACAGGTATTATGAACTACTTACCACCAGGCTGTACAGCTTCAAGAGGGTATTTACGAGGCCTTCCCCTTTTCCGTTTCACTATTACAGGCTGATTTTCCTATTAAAAGTAAAGGACAAAAATATTTTAGTTACTGTAATTGACATTTAGCATTTGAGCAATATAATACAAAGATAGCTGCTAACTTCATAATGTGATAGTGGCAGAAGTAGTGCTCATCAGTTTAAAAATATAGATGAGGCAGGTTTCATAGGAAGAGACACTGCCTGTTATGAAATCCATTGATATAACCGAAAAGAAACAAGACAACTCCCAATTATACAAAATTCTCTGTGGCTGGTCTCAGGCACAAAGCATGCCTGTGAACACAGTGCGTTCTGCCTCCTTCCCCCAACAACTCTATCACTTGGTCTCACAAATGCTGCTGGCTTACCCTATATACCCCACCACATCTTTTCAGTCTTACGAGAACTCCAAACTTTGTATCTTGTATCTTTTCCCAAGGCCACACAGCACAGGCTACATCTTGTAACAGCTGAGCAAGTGATATTAAAGAGTCAACATCCTAGTTATCCCAATATACAGGTTGGTGACGTTCTCTATATAAACAGGGCCTTTAGTAAAAAAGGCCCCTTACTTTGAAGTTTAAGCTTTGAAAGACAACTTTAAATAATGAATATGGTCAGATGTTCACATCACAAAGATCCCCAGTCTCAGATCACAAAATCCCCAATAATAGACTTTCTCCTATTTACAAGGAAGGAAGGCTAAGTGCCTCATTCAGCATTTACTGAAGTCTAGTGATGTCTCCCCCGCAATGGATCTTAGTGACTCAAGCCTTGAGTGAACAAACGTAACAATTTATTCTTTAAATTTTTTTCCACTTCCAAATTAGAGGCAAAAAAAGCAAATGACAAAACGTAATGTCTTTATGACAACTGTGTCCATTTCTAGGGACCAGCAACAATTTAAATTTCTAGGGTGCAGACATTTGTTTACAAACACCACTGTAGAATATTACAAATATATGCCTAAGAGATAACATAAAGAGTTTTAAAATTGTTGAGCCGTTATATTTTTGTAAAGCCAAGTCATATTTGCTAGTGACTAAACTGTCCACATCTCAATTACAAGGTTTTCAGAAAACACGATTTCTATACAATAGAACTCTATAGAATTGCTTTCTATACAATTTATAAGTACTATTAAATGTAGGAAGAGAGTTACTTCTACTTCAATAATTAGACACCGATGTCTTATGGTCTGTGAGTTTATACTTTGTGACACAGAACTACATGACTCCTTGATACTTTACAGTACCAAACATAAATTTTCACAGCTACTTCTGTGTTGGTGAAGTCCAAGTTTTAATATTGCTGTCAACAAAATACAAAGTACTTATTTTTCAGTGTGAACCTGCATTATCTCAGTTAGTTAACATGAATAAGACCACTCACCTCTGGAGAATTTTCATTTGATTCTAGACCATGCTTTTCCTTTTCAGACATTTCCTGTTCGATGATAAATTCATCTTCACACATACAAAAAACCAGTAAGAGAGAACTGTATACCTTTGTTTTATAAGGCAAAGAAAAAGGTACAAGCCACAACCTCTGCACTAAAAGAATTATTTCATTCTGTAGCCCAAAATTCCCTAAAAACACCCATCAGAAATCAACACTATTTGCCTTGTAGCAATCATTTACTGGTCTGCCAGAATGCTTCCCTAACACTAGATGAGTTAGACAGGTCTTCTAATTTAAGGTAAAAACAAAAGTTCAAAAGTGTGACCCACTGTAAAATGGTAAGATAAATACAAGCCACTATTCAATTTTCTCCCACATTCCATGAAACAGGAAGCTGAGGATACAAGCTCATTGCAGAACAGTTTCAGACTTGTCAACATGCTCACTGGAGAGACATAACTATTAATACGTCAAACTAACATTAGGGAAGATACTCAACACTGTTCACACAAAGACAGACTGAAATTACATCAAAGCCAATATTAACACTGTGGACACACCATCTTTTATTATTTATTTTAGTGCAATTAATAAGTCAACTACGACAGTGCAACTTGCGCACTCATACAGAAACAAACAGGGCTGATTTTGATGGTAAATGTGTCATGGGTTTTTTCATGGAAGGATACCTCTTATACGTGGTCAGACTTAGGAGAAGTTCTTCTTGTCACACACACCAATCGTTTCCCTATCCACCTGTTTATTTGCAATTAGCTTTCCTACCCACGGTACATACTGAAGCAGTAATGGAGTGGATGGGTGATAGCACAGCAGAAACATCAAATCTGCTCTCACTGTTAAAGGAACTAGGATTAATGTGTTATTTGATAGCAGTAATAGAACAGACAGCAACTAGAGAATATATGCAAGCATTTGCTGGGATCAAAGTTGCTGGGATCAAACTGGGATCAAGTGCCTAATTTCTCTCAGAATCATTCAAATGAAGAGAAATTAGCATTCAGTATGGGTTCAGAAAATTGCCCAGAATGGGCAGTTTCATTACCTTTTTCTTCCATAGTACTTTTAGGAGGTGTATGCTTTACAGCAATTTCTTTGGACACTTCCGCTGTATCACCTGAAATAACTTCCTACATTATTTTGAAACAAAGAAGAGAGCGTCTTACTACAAATCATTGTCACTTACTTATACTAAAAAAAAAGCCACACTCCAATATACGAGTAGTTATTTTATTCATCAAGATTTTGTAATGCCTCTTAAAAAACTTTGATGCTGAGAAGCGATCAAAATCAATGGGTGAGATAGTCCCAAATATACTGCACATACACTTAAAAGGAAAATCTATTTTGTCCTGAATTCCTGTTTTGACTTAGAAGGGATCAGTGCAAACCCAGAACTCGGGTCCAAGTCTGATACCCTCTTGCAGATCTCATATCAGTATGACCATGAAGATGCTGAACTGACTGGACAGCTGGGATCCAGCAATGCTCCATGTGATCCCAAGCTCCTAACTGTTATGCTGATCGGTCCACCACACCTCCAAGGGATTCAGGTACTGTGCATAACAACACAGACCCCTGCCTCTTTTTATTTTTTTTTTAAATTGTCTCCCCCTTGAAAAGTGAGTATCATTCTATAGTCAGTTATTTTGTATTCAAGACAATGCAAAAGTAGTTTACAGTTAATAATGAAAATACCTCCCAAAATAAACTGCTATAGAAATAAAAACTTAGACTTCCATCTTATTTACATTACAACTGCAGAACATTAAAAAAAAAGTTCTTGAAAATACCTTGATGTTATCAGGTTTCATTTTGGAACACTGACTTTGTTCATCATCTTTTCTCACAACCTGAGCAATCAGCTGGTTGCCTGCAAAAACAAGCAATAGTTTAAGTGTTAAAAAAGTGCCTTCTGCATTTCTTAGATTTTGATGCCACTTTTATATCAGCTCATCATTACTGTGATTCAAAAGATTCTGAAAAGCAGCATTTTATTTACAAAAATATGAACAGAAAGTTATGCTAACACCTCTTCGAAAAGGGAAGACAAAACAATTACAAATAAGAATTCCATGTTTCTTGTTGGGGGTGTGTGTGTGTGTGTTTGTTTTTAAAGATAAGCTCAAAATTGAAATTTGACAGGTACCACATCAAGAAATAAAACATCAACTTTAACTTCAACTCACCCAGAAACAGAGAAAGCAGTTAATGCTATGTGGGACACTATAATGAATACAGCATGGCTTCTAATTACTCACTTCATTAAATCAAAATTCTTAGAAGCAGAATAAAAACTGGTATAAAAAGTGACATTATTAATTATCCTGATTTTTTTTTTAAACGTCTAACTTATTTCTAAGTTAACTTTATCTAACTTTAACTTAGCAATGTTTATGCCATTAAATGGACTGACTTCCTTCTCACTTTTTGCTTCTAGACAGATAAAAGGTTACACTAAAACTTAACTCTTTCCAATCTAACAGAAGGAAGCATCCAGCCTCACAAAGTCTATTGAGTGGCTAGATTTTCCTCTGATGATCAGCTTTCCTCAGCTTTACATTCCTTCCCTGTGTTTTATTTAAAAAGGCTAAAACTAGTAATTATTTTAAAGACTAAACAAAAAAAGCTTGTTCGCTTACGATTGAAAAAGGTACTATAATACTCTTCCTTGCAGCATTAAATTTATTACCGTATTTTTATCAAAATATATTAAGTGTAATATTAAAAGCTGTTTTGGGAAGAACAACTGCTTTGGAGTTTGGAATTCCCCATATTCCATTCTTCCCTCCAAAATAACCATTTTACGGCCTAATCGCAGCAGAACTTCGTTTTACAGCAGAAAAACTTTACACAAATTCGTGTAGTTCTGTATCACTTACGTTTTTCTTGATCCACTGTTCCTGAAGATTTATGTTGTATTCCTCTAGATCTATGTTCTTCAGTTATCTGGGTATCCCAATTTTCTACCTACACATAAAACACAAAGAAAGATAACTCCTTACCTTCTTTTTTCCATAAAGTTTATAAACACAGAAGGGAGAAAGTTTTTCCTACTTGCTCCTTTCAAGTACAACATGGATTAAAACAGAAAGTATTACAAAAGCAATTTATTCCTAGAGCTCAAGTAATGTTACTACTATAGGATAGTACCATGAAAGAACTTCTGACTCGTAGTATTTTCAGAATTTCTAATTGATATTTTTAATGAAAAAAGCCTCAGTTTTAATTAAGTGCCCTATGTGCTTTAAAAGCAATTTATCATTGCAATTCACACAAAATATTTTTGGATTTAAATGGACACTCTCCTACATGCAGAAACAGAAGTAGTATCTCACTAGCACCAGAAATGTGGCCAACCAGCATCACAATACAGTAATAAATAAATTTACTACTCAAGTTTAAGAAACGACAAAAACATCTTTTAGCTTGTCATGTGTTAAATGTCTTGTTTCTGCTCCATAAGAAACACTTTACATTTGCAACTTTCCCAGTCATCCCTTTTATACTTATCAGCTCCAAGTTCTTGTGAAATCACAGTAGACTGCATTAAAATAACAGGTTTCTAGTCCTGATCAAAAGCCCCAAAAATAATCCCTGGTTTTTGTCCTCTATTCTCAAGGAGGACAATCAAGCTTCTCTTTTCTGCCAGTTAACAACAGTCTTGAAATAGTCATAGACTGTGGAACAACAATACAAGAAGATTTATTTACTGGCAAATTTGAAAGAATAATTAGACATCAACCTACACAGCTGCACAGTCTCAATATACATAGGCTCTGAATACACAAAAATAGTATTTTCCTTTAGAGAATATTTAGTGTAAATAGAAGTAAATGCAAGTAAGAAAGAAAAGCAGCACACACTTAGAGAGTAAATTTAAAAAAACCCAAGAACTTACATGAAAAGTTTCTCTTTCTAAAGCAGTATTCTTCTGCAGCAAATCTATTAAAAAATAATTACAAAAATAATCAGAAAAGCTAAGCAAGAGCAAAGTATCATAGTATCCTCTACTTCACCTCTCTGAAAGGATTCCAGAGTACCCGAAACTATATAAAACTTACTTTCAATGTTGGAAATAAGAGGCATCCAATTTTCTCTTTAACAATATTCGAACAAAAAAAAAAAAAAAAAAAAGAATATGGATTTCTAAAGCATAGGATAACTGAGAATCATTTTATGGCTAAAATACAGGCAATCATGGGGTTGTCATCTTTGAAATATATGGTAACTTTGACATTTCAAATATAGTTCTAGCATTTGAATGAATCAGAATTTTATCCATCACAACCCTAGATGCTGGATCACGGGATGAAGTAAAACGTGATGAAAACTATGCCGTAACATTATGCTTCCAGAGAACTAAAGTCTGCATAATTGTAGTAGTGAGACCTGTAGCTGATACAGTGCACGTAAGGAAATTGTCCCATTGCTAGACTCTACTGTACTCTAACTCTGATAAAGTAGAGCCTTAGCCTTCCATATCACAAAAATGTGGAAAACAATTATGAATTGTGGGAGCTGATGACTGCTCTGCACTTTTGAAAAAATTCCGTAACTTTCAAAGCCATTTCATATGGAAACATAAAGAGAATCATAAACAAGCTGCTCCATGGAGCATTCTACAAAACCCTTAAAAGTCTGATTCATAAAGGCACTGAATTAATATTTTAATAAAAAAAAAAGCTGCTAAAACATTCCAAGCAGTTTTCCTTTCAGCTACAATAAGAACATAAACCTATGATCCAATAAATCCACTCTATTCTACACACAATTTTATATAATTTGTAGCTCGTTTCTTAAATCTACATGTTTTAGTAACAATTTTTCCACAGTTATACTGTTTAGTTGCACAACATCTTTCAGTTTTTAAAGCAGTGTCAAATGAAGAGCTAGATCCTACCCACTCAAACAGCAATGATTTGTTTACATTCCAAAGAATCTTGGACTACTAAACTACTGTGTCTGCTGTTCATACTCATGACAGGACACACATTTGTCTTTTAAACAACTTCCTTTTACGTACGTTGAGCTATATATGCATGTATAGATATATATAAAGAGAGATTATTGTGTGGTGGGGGAGAAAAAGAGAAAACTCTCTACGAAGAGCTACAAAGCATTATTCTTCAGTGAATGTCATACCAACGTGATTTACACAACAAATGGATTTTTGTTAAACATTTTACATGGAACAAGATTATCACAGCTAGTTCAATCTGCACATTTTAAATTTTAAGTACTGTCTGTCTGGGTGACTGAGTGATGTGAAGTGGCACAGTTTTTCAGGCACTTCAAAGAAACCTCACAGTACAGAAAAACTGGTTCAAGTTTTGGATCTGCTGTCCTGAAGATCACATTCTTCTAACCCATTCTCAGGGTTTACATTTTCTTTCTTGTGAGCAGAGCATGTCTCTTATCACTTAGATGAATATACAACACAATTAAACCAGGTATGTGAATTTGACCTACCCCAAGAATAAAAAGGAATCCAAAGTTTTATACCAATGCTCATATCTCACCTTACTCCTATTTTTGTCTTCTACTTGGTAAATGGTTATTTTGGTAGGCATGTCTAAAAATTTAGAAGTGAGCTTAACAGTGTGTCCTTTCATAGCATTTAGACTTTCACCTGCAACTTTCCATAAGAGGAAATGCATCTTTAACCTCTTTGGACTGTATATGCAGCAGTATCACTGGTACCTCTTGGAATTCACTTTGGTTTTGCTTGTTACTCCATTAACTGAAGATTAACTCTCATCTGGTAGTGTTGTAAACATCTTTATAATGCATCTGGAGCACAAAATCCATCAAGACGGGAACAAAGCAGGGGTTTGTTTCTGCTTTAATAGGAAAGCCAAACAATTGCAACACATTTTAAAAAAATGTGCTTTTGGGAAACAGGGATTTTTTTTTTTTGTCCTATTGAAGGTTAATTTAATACATGGAAAAAGGAATTACTGAGGACAGATAAAAGTTGACTAATTGAGATTTCTAGCTAGGTGATTACCTACTTATAAGTGCTCTTCAAATTTCAGTGGATGGCCAAAAAAATTTTAATCTTCTGGAGAGCAAGAAAGGGGAAAAAAAAAAAAAAAAAAGTCTTTCCGTAAAGTCTCTGTGACTTAAGTCATATAGTGCTTACTCTTGTCATATCCTCCCAGGGCCTGTCACAACACCCAAAACAAGGATGTTCTAAGTTTATAAGGAAGAAAGCCATTCTTTGGGGAAGTTTCTGTATCTTTCCCGGGCAAACGTTTTTCTGTATTTATTGATTTAAAATAGAATGTTAGCAGTCTACTTCTTTAAAATCCGAAATGCTTTCCATCTTTCTTTCAGCATATCATATTGGAAGAAAAGGCTGACCCTTCTTCTTTCCCACAAACCAAATGCAAAGCCACATGAGCTCCCAGAAACATTTCAAGATTTCTGCAGGCTTTGCTTCAATCCCTCTACACATAGTATATATCAAATCTACAACCCTCCCATCATAAGTAATAGTCAAATCAATATGAAAAATAAGTTGCTATCAGTATAAAAATCACCTTTCTGAAACTCTTTAGTATGAAGATCCACATAACCCTCTTCGTTTCTTGGACTTTCAGGCTGTTGTGGCTAAACACAAAATCAAAAGAAACAAAAACATTGCAGACATCCACAAGAAGTATGTCTCACTCCCCTCCCTCATGTCATGATGAACATTGTCTTATCATGATCTATAAAAGTCTTCAAAAGCTTTCTTATTAAGATAGCAGTACAAGTATTAATAAGGAACACCGGCAGAACTAAGACACATCACTGTTTAACACAGTGCCTAACCTTGACTTTAGAGTTAATACTGGTACCAGAAATTAGTTTAAAAAAGGAGATCTCAAGAGAAATCTCAGGAAGTCAAGGTGCAATGCCTACTCTGAGTTCCAAATACGAGCAATATTCTAGAAATGTTCACATATACAGAAAAACATGTATCTGCAATGTGTAAGAAGATACAGTGAACTCTTTTCAACTCGTGTGTTGGGTTTTTGTTGTTTGTTTGTTTGTGCAGATCCACCCTTTCATAGATGCTTGGGAGTCTCTGAACCATGTTCACCCTCAAAACGCTTATTACCAGAGTTTGGTAAGATACGAATACATGATCCAGTCCTGCATCTGAATGAAGAATTAACCCACCTGGAAACCTATGGATCACAGCACAGACACACAAACAGAGAGGCTCAACTTTGGTCTTACACACACTATAGGTGACCATGAGCTCCAATACCCTGGATTATCCAGGATGCCCTACTCTTCTGTTAGAGCAGGTAACGGGCTGTAGTTATCACAGTATAGAACGGCAGCAGATGTTCCTCAAACACATACAGAATGGGTGAGTCTGAAGACTGGCAAGAAAGTGATACAAGAAATGAACAGCATGTATGTTTACTATTTCAAAGCACTAAACTAACAATTGCCAACTCTAAGAGCTAAGGCACGTATGACTATTTTACAAGTACTATCACAAGCAACATGCATACAGTATGACCAATTCTAAAAAAAGCAAACTTGGATGTCATGGTCACAGAAGGAGCATGGCTGAGGGAGGGAATTGGTTCTACCACAGAATAACATGGACAGCCCACAATTTAAATGCCAGCTGCTTAGAAAAGTACAGCTGAATAATCTGAAAAATGACCTTTCAAAAGTTTTGAAGTTCAAATGCCATTTTTGCTGTACAAAAATCAAAAAGTATAGTAAGAAACTCTAGCAAGATGTATAATTATACCAGAAGCAGTATAGTCAAAATTTTCAAAATAACATAAATACCTTGTCAGCTCTGAAGTTACTTTCAAATTCTAGTTCTTCTGCCAACTTTGGTAAAGCTGCATTATTGCCTAATGAAATACAAATATGTTAAAATTATTACATTACATTATGCTGTATTTATCTCATGCTACAGTAGGATGCTATTTCTCAGTACCACCTCATGAACACAGCACATGAATTTAATCCCTTCCTGTAGGCAACAGAAACAATATCAAGTCTGTCTGCAGCAAACCAGCTCAAAAAAACCCCAACTTGGCATCTGCCAACACAAGTACTTCTGTGTGTTCCTTAAATACAAAAGGATTGGAAAATATGGGCTATCAGGATTTACCACAGCTTATTTATGAATTCTGACTTCGGCTTTTTTTCTTGCTTTTTCTTCAAAAAAAACCACCAACAGATTTTCACACTAAATTCCAAACAGCAAATTACCTCTGTATTAATGAATGCAGAGCTAAGAGTTAATACTAAGGATAATATTTTTCTTTAAGTGACAATTAGATCTAAATCCATAAACTCTAGAACCATAACCTCTCAAATTATCCAATTTCCATAGAGACTGAAAGCTCAGTAGCTCCTGTTAGTGTCAATGTAATTTCAGAAAATCTTAAAACCCCATGCATTTCATTCCCCATGGGAACAGCTGTATGCTTATAACATCTGAAAAACTGGCCATGCAGACAGCATCTTCATATGACTTCTACAGCCTTTTTGGACACCTATTTCAGAAGCCTGTTCATACAGCTTTTCCTGAACAAAAAGAAATAGTTATAACATGATAATTCATCAGTGATGCATGTGAAGTGATTAAATTGTGGTTGTGGTCCACAGAGTAAGACTACCACTACCACTGGTACTTACAGAGGCTACATCAATGGACAGACAACAAGGATTGAGCAAAGCCCCAAGACAGAAATACCTTATTATAGCAGTTTTCACGGCTCATGTTTGTCTCTTGTATAAATACTGAATAACATTTTTCAAGTTTACTAGATCGGCATCTTTCCTTGACAAATTCCTAAAATCCCAAAATCTGCAGAATAAGCCTTCTCACCCCAAATGTCAATAAAACTAGAGAATAAAGCCAATCTTTCAGAAACTGGACCTAAACTCACATTATAAAATGTTTTTCGAAATAATAGCAAAGACAGACATTAGAAGGAAAAGGTTTTAAAAGTAGCACTTAATCTGTATCATTCCACTTCCTTTGGTATAAAGAAAGATAAGCAGATTTCTCTACTATTCTTCTACAGTTTAATTTCTCCAAAATTTATAGTGAAGTCATAATCTTGACTTCATTACAGCATCTACAGAATTTATTAATTTTCATAAACTTGGTGCTTCACCTACTCTGGAGGGTCAAAGAGGAGAAAGGCTGAAATAGGATGTACATTACATGGTATTTTAGGAACTAGCAACCATGCAAGTTCATTTCAAATGTTAGCTTCCAGAAAAATGGATCCAGAAATAAAATATGATATCCTTAATGTCATATACTATCACAACTTAAGTTTTCTATTTAAAATAGACACGTACCATCACTGCTCACTTAAAATACTAATTTATTTAGGATGACTGTCTGATTACTTTGTAACACAAAGGAGGACCATTTCAACTGTATTCACAACACAAAATTTAGCATAAGAGAGTGAATCTGAATATGACCATTAAATAACCATCCAGAGAAAATCTGCAGTTATGATTAAGGATGGCCACTCTTAACCTTCAAGATTACTAAGAAGTTACCTTTTTAAAATGTTGAACATACGTCTAAATGAAATGCATCCTCCTCCCTATAAAAGCATTTTTGAATTTCAAAACACGTTACTAACAACACCCATCTGTAGCTCCATGATAATTACCCCTTGCAAACCACTTCATATATTAGCTCACAATTTTAAGTCAATGTATTTTAATAACTTTTTTGCACTCTAATAACATTTAATTCTTTTCCAACATACCTCAGATAATTGTGTTCAGTCACTCCTATACTCTCAGAATCACATGCTTATTTAAATATTTGTCAACAATTCTTAAATATATTATTAACAGTTATTTTGCAACCAGCAAAGAAGTCAGGTATATTTGAACAGTGTAAGCTATTTCTAACTGTAATCATGGTAAAATGCATCTATTTATGACAGCTTATAAACTGAAGAGTTAAAAAAAAAAATCCTCACCTGAATTAAAGGTTGTGTTACTTTTTTGAAAAGTAACTTCAATTCCAGTATCATCTATTTTGACCAAGTTCGTTTTGTCATCACTGCCGTTTAGCTCTTCTACATGCAACACGGGGAAGTCACTTTTTTCCCCTAATTCTGCTTCTATCGTCACTTCACCATGGTTGGTATTTACAGTCACTTCATTTGCAGAAACTAAGGAAACAGCCTGTGCCCCAGGCAGCGGAGTCCTTACTTCAGAAAAGTCACTTTCTAAAAGCAAGTTTGAGTTAAATTTATAGTTTACGTTCCTTAGAGTTTCACTCTCTACCGCTGCTTCTGCAATCATACAAGAGAGTTCTGATGTAACATCCTCATGCAAAACATCTTCAGCTTGCTCATCATCCTCACTTGCCTCTGAAGAAGGACTTGGACTCACAGCAGTCTCTGTACTAATCTCCACACAAAGGGCTTCGTCTACACTCATAAGGTTTACTGAATTTTCATCTGTTTCTGTGATTTCACTGTCTACTGTGGTCTGAGACGCTGCTGATTCTCCCCTCACACCACTCTCATGGGTCTCGTTCTCTCTATCAATGACAAGCAAAGAATTACCGCTTTTTTCTGGGCCTGTAGTCGATAGGATGCATTCAATCTGGTTACCAGTATTAAAAATTTCCTCACTTTTGTCTTTTACTTCTGTACTCTCAGCAGCAAGTTGACTTTCTTCTATGACTGTAAAGGTGAAGAGACTATCACATTCTTCCATTGTGCTCAGAGTGATCACTGCCCCCTCCTCCTTATCTCCTAGACTTGAAGCAGCGTGTTGATCTTCACTGTTGGTGGCAACCCTCAGCACAGGAGCTCCACATTCTCCCACAAAAATCACAGAACCTTTGCTTTTTGCGTCTGCATTGAAAGCAGCTAGTCCAAACTGTTCATCTACAGTGGCAGTGGTCTCCACAATCTTACATTCCTCTGATGCATTTGCAGAGATAATGGCATCTTCGTCTCCTTCTGCTACAATGAGCTGACTTTCAGCTTGTGGTGCTGCTGCACTGATCAGGACTATCTCACATTCTTCTGTCATGCTTGTAGTGATCATAGCAGCTTCGTATCTTCCTTCTGTTTCTGAAGCAGTGAGTTTGTTTTCATCTTGCACAGCTACACTAGACATAGGAGCTTCAAAACATTCTGCTGTACTTGTAGAGATCATTACCGTTTCATTTTTTGACTCTGTTTCTGACACATGTTGAATCGCATCTTCTGTGACTTCACCTGACATTAGGATTACTTGTTCTTCCAGAACACTTGTGGAAATCATAGCACATTCATCTTTTTCTTCCTTACCGCTAGCAGTTGGGTGACTTTCATCATCATCGTTATCATCTCCTCCAGCACTCGATTCACTGGGCATGGGAACCTCATATATTTCCATATCTATAGAAACCATAGCATTCTCATTTATTTCTTCTGTTTTCACAGAGGGAAGCTGACCATCATATTCAATAGCCGCACTTGACATAGGAGCCTCAAATTCTTCCACAATACTGGTGGAAATCATAGTGCACTCATCTTTCTCCTGCTTACTGCTAAAAGTATGCACACACTCTTTAAACTCTGTAGCTGTACTGGGCATAGGCATCTCTGTGTCTTCAGCATCTATTAAGATCATAGAGCTTTCCCCACTTTCATTTGCTCTTGCAACAGCAAGTGGACCTTCCTCAGCATCTATGGCTGAATGTAAGGGAGCATCACTTTCTTCCACTGTACTGGTAGAGATCATATCACCTTTTACTTTTTCTTCTCTGCCAGCATGAATAAGAGAATTCTTATCTTCTGCTGGAACTGCACTACTTATAGAGGCATCAAGTTCTCTCCTGCCAAAGGCAGTCATGGCATTCTCATGTTCGCCTTCAGCACCAGACTGACTCTTATCTTGCACTGCCATAGCACTAGTCATGGGACCCTCACATTCCTCGGCATCTAAGGGAATCAATGTACCTTCATGCTTTCCTACATGCACAGTCAAGGCACCCTCATCTGCAGCACTTGCACTAGTTACACTGCTTTCAACAATCCCTTTAGTGTTTTTGCAGTTTGTGCCACAATTAGCTTCTTTCTCTGCACTCGTCATGCTGTCAACAGTAAGCTTATTTATATTTGCGCCAGCCACTCCTGACTCAGCTTCCATTTGTTCAGCAACTATGCAGATAATGGAACTTTCACCTTCTTCCGCACCTATACAAATTAGTGCATTTTCACTTTCCATTCCTGTACAAGTAGAAGCATGCTCATTTTCTTCATTTCCTCTTCCTGTACTGGTCACAATGCCCTCACCTTCTTCATCCTCTTCTTTTGAGCCTGTACTAGTCACAAAACCTTCATCATCACACAGACCTACACTGACCACAGTGATGTTGGCTTCTTCCTTTGCCCTTGTACTGTCCGTTAGACTTTCACATTTTTCAGCTTCTAAACAAACTGCAAACCCCTCATTGCTGTCTTCTAGCCCTGTGCAGACTACTGAAATTTCAGCATCATCTTCTGGAGTTATGCCTGTGCTGGTCACTGCGCTTTCACCATTTACAGTATCCTCAGATTTGTCACCACTAGTTCCAGTTGTGGCACTGTTGTTTGTGACCATTGCAATACATGCACCAGTTACAGTGCTTTCTCCTTGGGCATCTGTACCAGTCACTGAGCAGATAATGAAGTTATGACCTCTTTCTTCTGCACCTGTGCAAGTCACAGTACCTTCGTGTTCTTTTACTTCGTCAGCTCTCACATTGCCCCTAAATTCACCTGAACTGTCACCACTTGTCAACCCTTCACCTGTTTCTGTCCCTGCACTAGTTACGGCACCATCGCTCTCCACTTCACCTAAGCAGGATACAGAATTTTCAAATTTGCCTGTATCTACACAAGTTGAGGTCTTTCGCTTTTCTTCAGAGCCTGCACTAGTCACAGCATCATCTTTTTCTTCTGCCCCAGCACTATTCACACTGTCTTCAGTTTCTACTCCACTTGCATTGACTGAATCCTTACCACTTTCTTCTGCATCAACCATGGTGCAGTCACCATTTTCTTCTCCTTCTGTACTTGTTAGGAAACTTTCACTTTCTGCTAATCCTTCAGTGACAACATTGCCACCACCTTCTTCAGCTGCTGCAACAGTACACTCACCAATATCTGCTCCTGTGATGAAACTGCTGCCCTCACTACTTTTTACCCATATACCTGTTGTGAAACCCTCATCAGCTTCTATGCTTGTGCAGATTACGGTCACCTCGCTTTCTTCTTCTGAGCAAGTGGTTGTAGCATCACTGTCCTTTTCTGAATGTGATGCACCCTCAGCTCTTTCTTCTCCTGTACTAGTGGCCATTACAGTGCTCTCAATGATCTTTTCTGTGCTAGTTCCTATCACAGTAGCTGGAGTTGTTTGTAGGCTGCTGTACAACAAACTGAGTTTACTACTTCCTGCACTAGTACCTACTGCATTGCTTTCATTTTTATCTTCCATGCCAATCACACCATTCCCTTCTTGCCCACTGGCTGTAACACAGCCTTTGACTGTTTCCTCAGGAACTCTTTCAGGCACGAATACAGAGGAAGATTGTATCATATCATCAATATCGTGCACTTCGTTCTTTTCCACGTTATCCATCATAGTGCTTCTTTCTCCCTTTGTGGAAGGATCTGTATTCAAGCACTCTTTTTCTTTTCTTTTTAGAAGTTCTTTTGTTGTTACATCTCCACAATCCTCAGTTATGTCAGTCATCAAGTTTTCCTCTTTTATTTTCAATTCACTTCCCTGAGTGCTTTCTAACTTCGCTGCTTCACCATAATCTTCTTGACTAGGTAACCCAGCTGTACTGTCTTCTATTGCCTGTTCATCAGGCTGGGGCACCACATTATCTTTCACTATACTATTTGTCATAGTGGTGTTGTCACCATCGTCTTTCACGATAGAACTCAGCACTGCACTATCCTGTTGTTCCATGTATACAACCTGTGCTGCGTCATTCTTCAAAATGAAAGTATCTTCAAATAAAGAAGTCCCACCTGAATTATGGCATTCTTTAGACATACTACCCAAGGAATCTGTAAAATCCGAGATATCCACATCCATGGACTTTGCCTCACTAGCATCTTCTCTGGAAGAATTAATTGCTAAAGGAACATCATCTGAATTAGAATTTATCACAGTTTTTAAATTCTTTGGTCTTCTGCTATCTTCTGAAGCTTGATCCTTACTGGGAACATTCAGTAAGATTCTACCACTTGTTTCATACACAATGCTCATTTTATAAGCCCCTTGTTTATTGGGTCCTTGATCCATGGAAGCTTGTTTGGACAGAGTGTCTGAGGCACAAACTTGTTTATTAGGGATACCTTCTTGTTTAACAGTTTTTTCAGCTGCAGGGAGAAACTGCAATTCACAAGCTTCAGGATCTGCCAAACTGTGTTTTAATTCCTTATTTGAAGTAGAGAGAGATATTTTTTCTTTTGCTGTATACTCTGTATCTGTGGCTTGGAGTGAGTTTTGAATGTTTTTTCCTTCGATGTTAGATGCTTCCTGTACTTTTGTTTGTTTCAAATCAAGTTCCATCAGCTCTTCCTCATGACCAGAATGCAAGTCATCATTATTCATACTTGACTTTTGAGGGGCTGCAGCATGGCTGCTTTCAGTTGTGCTAGCTGATTGCTTTTCCTCTCCAAGTAAATCTTGGTTTGATATACTGCCTTTTCTATTTTCACAGGGTATCTTCTTACTTTGTTTTTTATCCGTTGCCATTGTGATGCTCAATACTTTTTCATGCCCACTATCCATTTCTTTAATATCTTTATCTTCCAATTTGATGCCCTCTTCCTTCTTCTTTATTTCCTTGTTGCTGTGCTTTAAGTTTCTGCTTTTGTGACCTTCAGCAGAGAACCTTCTTTCTAGTTTGGAATTGCTTAAATCTTTATCACCTCTATATTTCTCTTTTACAGATCCTCTTTCTCCAGAATGTAACTTAACTCTGTGACTAAAGTCTTTTTGTGATCCCTGAGTTGATTGTGTGCCACTTACAAGCTCAAACTCAGCACTACTCTCCTCAAAAACTTTGTCTTCATTCTTGCATTTGTGTTGCTTATCTGAATCATTCTCTTCCATGCTCTTATCTTTGTCTAGTTTCTGACCAGTCTCTTGTTTTGTTAAATTTTCCTGTAATTCTGTTTCAGATGCTTTGAATTGTTTACTGTGACTCTTTGACTTAGACTTTAACAAAATCTTGTCTTCTACAAGGCTCTTAGATCTTCGTCTATCTTTATGAACACCATCTTCTTGTTTCAAATTACACTCAGAGTTAGTTGATTCTATTTCATGTTTATCTTCCGAGTAGCTTTCGCTCCTTCTGTGTGATGCAGAAGCAAGTTGCTTTGAGGCACTTAGGGAATCCTTTTGTGGCCTAGAATCACTCAGGGACCTTTTGGACTTGTATTCTGCTCTTGACTTTTCAGTTGAGAGATGTCTATCTTTTTTATTTTCCTTACGCAGCAATTCTTCAGCTTTCAAGGTTGATTCAGAAATATTTTTTCCATCTTTTCCTGTTACTGATATTTTCCGTTCACTTCGGTGTTTACTTTTTCTCTCAGATTTGTCATCTGAGGAAACCTTTATTTGTTGATTATGTTTCTGACCACCGTCCTCTCCTTTCAAATTTCTCTCAAATGAATGGAGTTCAACATCTTCACTTGATTTGTGCATACCATCTCCTTTATATTTGTGCTTTAATGAAAGTTTATCTTCTAAAGCAGTTCTTTCCTTTTCATTTTTATCTCTGTAAGACTTGGCTTCTTTTTTGGCAACGTTTCTCATATGTTGAATTTCTGTGTCACTATCTTTTTTGGGGTGTTTTTCATTTTTAAATATGGATTTCTGCTTCTGTAGTTCTTCAGTATTGACTTCTGCTCTATCCAGTTGTCTTTTCGGATCCCTTGTTTCACTGTCCTGCTGAGCTCCTTCAGCCTGATGAGAGGTGGAGGTTTTTCTTTTATGTTCTTTTTCTGCTTTAGAATCACTTTTGCTTTCCTCAGTTGAATGCACCGATTCTGAAAGTCTTCTAATCTGTTTAGAGATTTCACTTTTCCCATGATTATGCTTCAATTCTTTGGAAGAATTTTTTTCACAAGTCTACAAAAGAAAGTTTTTATATATATAAGCAAATGTTACACAGTTCCTTCACCACGTGACCAAACAGAATTGTTATGGGCAAACTCTCCATAAAAACAATACATCAGAGAATACACTTAACATTGTAATAAAAATTCACCTAAAATATAGTCAGTAATAAAATTAAACTTGCCATTTTCATTTCAACTATCTGCCATTGTGGGAAGATCCAAAGAAACAGAAGTTAACCTTAAGCAGTCTGTTTGAATGTGAGTATCTTTTCTCTATGAAGTGCTTTTTCTTTCTAAAATTATTTAAATGGATTTTTAAATGGACAATCACAATTTCAAGTACTCCAGAAGTTACTTTAAACAGCCATTATGCTGTCTGTATAAAAAAAACCACCACAACAAAAACAAACAACACCCCAAAACCCACAAAAGATAAATCTAGGCTTCCATTTGAACTTCCAACTATCACTTTTTTTTTTGTTAATAATGTTGTTGGTAAAAACTCTCACCATAAAAATCCTCTTTCCTTTAGTGTTTGGACTGCATTCAGTTTTCCTTTAACTTCCCCGTGAGAAGTTCAAATAGATCAAGCTCCTCAAGTCTTTGCATATAAAGACACACTTTGCTCTTTTTAAAAACCCAACATGCCTCACAGAATAGGGCTTAAACTGTACCTTGTGTTCTACTACAACATGCATCAGCACTGAATGCATAGACTGTATATTCTAGTGGCTACTGGAATTCAGAAAACATTACTACAGTAACGTCAGATCACTAACACAATTGAAAGAACTAGCAGGAAAAAACTAATTCATAGAACTAATGCAATATTATGCAGTTTGGTATGGACATATGAACAAGTACTACTACAATTAAAAAGGAAGATCATAAAGTTTATATTTGAGACACATACCTCATTTGTCTTTTGCATTTCTTTAGAATCTTCTTCAGATGGCTCGTATTTCTTTTTGCAGCCATCTTCAGCATGCCTGAAACAGGCAATTAAAAAAAGAAAAAAATCGGTATCAGCCTAACATTATTTGTAAACTTTCTGCTTTTAAAGCTGAAGGAGAGAGAGAAATGCACACTAAAAATACTGAAATACTGAAATAGAACATGATCACACAACTTTTGACTAGCCAACTTGTCCAAGCTTTTTTCTCTTAGAAAATTAAGTGTACCAACTTCAAAGATAGCCTCTGGACATCAGTGCTTTAAAGCAGAGAATATTAGTATGACAATATTAGTACTACTGTTGTCCCTGTAAAATGGGTAAGATCTCCTTGCCCCATACATACCTGTACGTAGACAGATACGTACATGTGTACATACCTATGTAAAACATTAATTTAAAGACCAAGCCAAGTTGACTGACATATTAGATGCACAAACATCTAAAAGCTCTCCATTCTCATGCCTTTATGACCATTCTGTGTGTGAAAAGCCACATAAAGGCTGCTACTGCAGTCTGAGCTGCAATATATTTAAGCAGCTATAATTTGATTTTCTGCCCAAACTTCATGCTTTTTAGTAACAAAATTATGTGAATATTTTAAGAGGAAGTTGTTAAAATGGGCAAGGCTAACTGCAAAGTTGAAGAGAACCTTTTCAATCTGCAAAAATGGATATTCAAAAACTTAATTCCTTTTGAGCAAATACATGAATACCTTGAATCTCTTTTTCTTTTTCTGCTCAAGGCTACTTTTTTTTCTAAAAATTTCTGTTCTTTAAGCACATCCTTAATGCTGGTACCAGTAGCTTTTGACTCAAGACTTCTTGATGAATGTTCTTCTAAGTTCAAGCTGCTTTTTCCTAAAATAATAGACAAATGGTGAAATACATAAGCATGTCATTATATTACTGTTTCAGCCGTAAACGTGACTGAAAGCAGTACAGAGAGTACTAATGTGTAGCAGAGAATAGTAGCTATATATAGGTATTCATTGCATTTAAACAATGTAATGATACGTGAAAGGATATATGAAAAAGTGAAGATATGGAATTTTGTATTAATAAGTTGCATTATACATTTTTCTGTTACATCACTGTTTAAATGTTGGGGTTTTAAGGGAAATGGCTAGAGACCTATGACTAGAGACCAACCTATTACCAATATTTCAAGCTGAATGTTTTTTTCCAGAGAGAGTGAGCAAGCGAGAACAGGGTGGCGGGGGCTAACGTTATATTTCTCACACCTTTAGCATTTTGATTTCCGGTTTTTAGGGATTTTGTTTTTTCTGCAGCCTTCTGTTTACGTTTTTCTTCAAGTCTCTCTCTGTTAATTTGTCTTCTTAGGAGTCTCTCTTCTTTTTCTTTGGCCTGGAGATACAAAACCAAGAAAAACAATTAAGTTATTAGGTCAAAGAGTATTCTTTGACTACAAATGTATGTCTAAAACCCACAGAAAACCGGACATTGTAGCTTGAGGCAAACTGAAAAATAAGTAGTCCTTAGAAATCATTATATGAAAGTTAATGGAATCTTCTAATACTTCCATGAAGTGAAATCAGCTGAGTTCCAGAGTCTCATTGCTGCTTAACACCGCAGACTGAGGCTGTGAGACCTTCTCAAAGAATATCTCTTTTT